GTCCCAGCCAAATACTTATTGTTATTGAATAAATTATTCAATGTTAACAAATTAGTGTGTCATCTCCTGAAGCAAACTATTAATGTTATTAAATATTACTCAAGAGTTTTATATGTCAGTTTTTAAGGTATTATGTGTTTTCTTTTTTGTTGTTGTTTTTTCCTATCACACAAAGCCTAATAAGAACCAGTGTTTCTCAAGAGGGAAGAAATTCCATAGTATTTCCTTGTTGTGTACATCCACAAGTCTTTTAAGGGACTAATTTTTTTGGAACAGGATTTGGCAACCTCTATACCACAATTGATCACCTGTCTATCATTTCAACAGAAAGACTGTAAGAAGGTTAGTAAAGCCTTACTATATAGCATCTAACAATACAATTAACAGTTTTATATTTTAAAACATTGATGATGGTGATTAAACAGGGAAATCTAACAGCTTGATGATTTAATTTGGCCATAACATAGTATTGTGTCATCTTTTTATATTAGCAAGTTATATAAATGAGTTGGGTAAATATGAGTCAAAAAAAAGGGAAAGAAAGGAGAAAAATAATTTTATTCAAAAAATCTGATTATTTACTACACCAGGAAATTTCAGTTGAAATGGATGTTTACTGTATGGTATATGATTTAAATGATTGCCTAAAACAGTATTTCCTAGCTCGTTTAAACATAGTAATTTATATGATTAGAGATCACAAATTATAAGAATTTGTGTAGTAATGAAGATGACCATGATTTAGACTGGAAAAAATATCCTTGGGGAAAAGATATAGGGAAATAAGAACATTTTGTATTCACATTGGGTTCCTTTGGAAGCAAGGATAAGGATAAAGAAGTAACAGAGCTTTTCTATACCAACAAATGTTATTCCATAAGGCAGTCTCAATTGCTCCATTAAGATATATTCCATTTTGCTAACCCACAGGATTAAGCCTGTTGTGCTAGCAGTAACTGTCAATACTCACAGTGAGAAGCAAGTAAACACTTTAGTATCAATTATTTATAATGATTACACATTCTCATAAGTGATCATCACAAATCTAGGAGTACTGACATCACCTCTAGAGTAAGAATCTATAAATAGGTATATAGATTTATAGAGAGAGAGACATAGGGGAGGAGGACTGGGGAGGGGAAGGAGGATGGGAAGGGATGGGAAGGGGAAACAAAGGAGGAGGCTACAATGCTTGATAAGAAATGTACTCATTATCTTGCCCATGTAATTGTAACCCCTCTGTACAGTATTTTCACAATTTTTTTTGGGGGGGGGTTCGGTTGTGGGGCCTGAACTCTGGGCCTGGGCACTGTCCCTCAGCTCTTCAGCTCAAGGTTAGAGCTCTACCACTTGAGCCACAGCGCCACTTCCGGCTTTTTTTTTTTTTCTGATTATGTGGTGCTGAAGAATCGAACCCAGGGCCTCAGGCATGCAAGGCAAGCGCTCTACCACTGAGCCACCTTCCCAGCCCCACAATTTTTTTATATATCCACACAAAATGAAAATGCTGGTAAGAAGGGCATTGGTGAATAAGCACTTACTAAAGTATGCACAGGCTGTAGGGTCATTATGGGGTGCTGGAAATTTCATGATCAAGATCAGAGTCTGTATTTACTGGGAGGACCATTTGCAGATCTTGCTTATTATCACAGAGAAAGGAGGATCTGAGATCAAATACTAGTTGAATAGTAATTCAGTGTGGCATAACAGAAAAACAGGGATTCTTTCTTAGAGCACATGGAATAAAGCACATTCTTTCCTAGAGCACATCAAGTAATAGAGTACGACTCAAGTGAATATTAGACATAAGAATTACAAGTAGACAAATGGCAGCACTGCTAACTTATGGAGAGATTAGTTTAAGCTGAAAAAAGAAAATTACTTGTAGTAATACTTGAAGAAAATATTTCTCATCATCTAGCCACTAAAAATTTTAATATAATTCATGGTAATGCAACGGTATTTCTCTATAAAGCACTAAAGTGATATTTTAGAACCTCTATTCAAAATTTAGAGTTGATAGTAATAAATGGTTTATAGATAAATCTCCTTCCTCTTAACCAACAGTGAACACTTTTGATAAGATGGCTGGAGCTGAGGATGCAGCTGCACACAGACCAGATCAAAGCTAATTAGATTTTGTGGCAAGCTGAACTCATGACCTAGACTTCCATAGTCATGATCTAACCTAACGTGCTAGAAGGGCACAGAACAAACATGCTGGCACTAGCTGCTTTCATTAATGCATTCTTGTACTTCATTGTTCTTATAATTTTAAAGGATCAACTTTACAGACGTTACTTTCAAAGGTTTTAAAAATGAGTCAATTCATTCAACTCGTATCTCTCTTGGTAACCCCTAAGATCAGTAAACAGACAGTTTAAGAATGTAACAGAAAATAGGCCGATTTTAGAGTCAGAAGAAATGTAAACAACCCAAGCACAAAATTAAAAAGCATAATTAGTGTTTATTTAGAGCTTATTATTTCTCCAATGGAAAAGAAAGCACTTCTGCTAAGCTAATTATCTCCATTTCACAGATTATAAAAGGTAAATACAAAGTCAGACCCTCAGAAGTTAGCAAAGCTAATCCTTCTTTTCACTATTAAAAAAGAAGGTACGTACAACTGTGACAAAGGCTATACAGTTAACTCCCTACATCCGCTCCATCCTTTCCCTAGCCACCATCTACCACACAGACATGACAGTTACAAACCCCCATTCTCAGGTTCCCCTGAAATCAAGCATGTGTCACAGGCAAAAAAGCAATAACAACTGGCAATATAAGTGACCTCTAGCAGTGTCTAGAAAGTTACTTATTTTCTGTGATAACAGAAAGGTCAAAGTGGCAGGCATCTCTTTTATTTGGTATAAATCCCAATAAGTAATTTGGATTTATGATAGACAATACAAATTTAGGGTCCAGGATGATCTGATTCTACACAGAAAATAGGGTGAAAATATTCATAGTGTGCACAAACTATGCAGAGTTGTAGATTCATTAGCATAGCAGCAATTTATAGGCTTCTTTTAAGAGATAGTCACCTAAATGTAAATAAAACAAAAGACATTCCCATTCAGGGAGGATTCTTTCTTTCTACTATTGAAAATATAAAAACAGTAAAAACAAACAGAGTTTGTTTGCTATGCCAGAGTTCTTTCTAGAGTAATGATAAGCTAACTATAGAGAAGGAAAGATAGGGTCAGTCTTGAAAGATCACCCGAAACAGGTGATGGGGGCTGGCAACAAAGGGGAATGCCTGTAATAGTGTCCTCACAGAGGAAAGGGAGAGAAAAACTCACACGTCCAAAGCAACTCACCCATCCAAAGCACAGAGACAGTGAAATACAATATTTGAAGGAAACACCTGAAGTTGCTTATGTCTATAACTAGTGGAAAGTGAAGCTTAGAGGTAGGAAAGGGAAAAATGCCAAAGCAAGCAAGAGATGTAGTGTTGAGGCAGTGGTGGTATAAGCAGACTCAGTGACCCAAAGTATTACGACCCAATAGCAAATGTCAAAGAAAAGGTTGCTTTTGTTTTTGTTTATTATGTACCAGGTTGAGTGTTAGGTACCTAAATATTATAACAACATATATCACAACAACTCAACAAGATTATCTTCCCCCCTCGTTCCATGAAAACAAAATAATAGCGAGCTCACAATATTTAAGTAAAATGATCACTACAATTATAAAATTAATACATAGTTAAACCAAGATCCTGGTAATCTTCCTTCTCCTACTACTACCTACTAATAAGATATCCTATGTCATGTATTCTTGGGATAAATGGCATTACCTATGGAAAGAGTAGGTACAGAATAAAGAAAGCAGAATTACCCTGGGTTACTACACCAATACTAAAGGAAGGTAAGTAGAAGATTCAGTGAGAGTTTTGATTCATTCAGGTAAATCCAAAAAGCTAGAAGTTACAAACAAAACACAAGTTGAAAAAACTTCTGAAGACTTGCAATAATTCTTAGTCACTTTATTTTTAGTAGCATCCAGATTCTTTATCTCAAGTGTCTTAAAAGTCCCCAAATTTACAAATCTACATTAACAGTGATACAAAGGAGGTAAGTTAATAGAGGGATGTATATCAAGATTGGAAAATAAGACTTACTGCATTTAGTCACTTTTATAAAAAAAGTATCTAGGTTAGAAAATATGTGGGAAAAACCAAAACTCTTCATATACTAGTTTATACTAATTTACATAACTATCCATACAAGTTCCAGTTACATTATTTAAAAAATGGGTTTTGTAGCTGGACACCAGTAGCTCACATTTAATCCTAGTTATTCAGGAGGCTGAGATCTGAGGATCTCAGTTCAAAGCCAACCTAGGCAGGAAATGTGAGACTCTTATCTCAATAAATTACCCCACCCAGCAAAAAAAAAGCCAGAAATGGAGCTGTGGTTCAAGTGGTAAAACATTAGCCTCAGACACAGTGCCCAGGCCCTGAGTTCAAGCCCCAGGACTGGCACACAAAAAGAAAAGCTTCACAACACAGTATTAAAATTTAGAAATCATGACATAAAATATGTTTTTCTTAGTCTAAGGATATTTACTGAAGGGTACATAATTATAATAATTTATAATACTTCAAGAAAAATAAGCATAATTAGCAAACATAGACAAAGCTTTCAAATTTCCAGTTTGATTTCAATAACTGCTCTAGTAAGAAATAACTGACTCAGAAGACTAAGTTCTGAGAATTGAGGTGTAAAAGTCAACGCAGGCAGATAAATCGAAGAGACATGCATTATTAATTAGCCAGAAAAAAGCCAGAAGAGGCAATAGGGCTTCTGTGGCAGAGCTCCAGCCATAGGTGAAAAGACCAAATCAAAGAACGAAGCCCAAAATTCAAGCCCAATGACTGCACCACCGCCATCCTGACCAACAACAATAAAGACAACAAGGAAGCAATCTGGGACCAGAGGGGTATATTATTTCTCTCTTAAGGAGGGAATGGAAGAGACCTACACATACAAACTTACATTGCTCCATTGGTGTAGACAGTATCGCTTCCTTCCACATACTGCACCTGAGCTGGATAGACATGTTGTACCTGCTGCACAGTCTGTACCTGCTGTACCTGAAAAACAAATGTCAAGACTATAGTAAGAGGCAGGCAGTACACAGAAACAATACACAGAACTAGATTTACCAATAGGTTTTTCCATAGCACATAAGCATACGAATGGCTCACAATGGAGACTATGAAGTTCATGCTTATTTCAAGACAAGCAGAGATTGGGTCTAGATCAACTGTAGCATTTGTTTTAAATCAGTTCCATAGTAGTCTTGCAGGCATGTATGGATCTGTAAGCTTAAAAATGTTCTAGTTTAAAATCATGAAACTTGCTCATTCATTTCATAATTTATGAAATCCTATTCCATTTTATTTCGTAAGACTAGATTCATGTTTTAATTGAACAAAACGATAATGAAAAGTTACAAAAACTCAAACATGGAGAAATAGTTTATTCCATTCTTGAATCCATTCAACTTATTTTCCAAGATAAATAAATGGTCACCAGCTCCCTCCTGTTTATTTAAATGCAGTTCCAAAGATTACATAAACATCTCAATTTGTTGTGTCTAAAAGATAAGACTTGTTTTCTGTGAGTGTGGCAGTGGGGAGTGAACTGAGGACCTCACATTCACTATGTAGGTGCTCTACAACTTGAACCATTTTTCAGCTTTTTTTGCACTATTTTCTGGACAGTGTCTTACTTTATGCTTGTGGCTGGCCTTGGGTATTTGTCTTTCTACCTATGCTATCCTCCAAAGATAGGGATGACAGACACAAGCCACTGAAACCATCCACTGTAGCTGGGCTAACAGGCATGGGCCACCATTCCCAGCTATTAGGTGATCAGCTATAGTCTCAATTACTTTATGCTTCAAACTGCAGCCCCCATATCTCTGTCTACCACGCAGTCCAGCCTTGAGCCACTAGTCAAGAACTGCTTTTAACATGAGTTTAAAATACAAACCACACATAAAAAATTAACAAGTGCTAAATATCCTCTGAAATTCAGTCACTAATCAAATTTCTGTCACCATTCCAATAACTTTGTAAGATTGATTTGTTCAATTTAGAGTCTTAACAAGGTCTACACAAAACATATGATTAATATTTTCTTTCCTTTTAATCTCAAACCCTGTCCCATTCTTTTTTATTTTTTTGCACCTTAGTTCTTGAAGAAACTGGATCATCTACTTAAATCAACCACTAGAATTCTAGATTTGGGTAGTAACATCACTCGACTGTTATTTAACATGTCATTCGAATCTCCCTCCCGCACCCTTCACCCCAAAAATGGCAGTGTTAAAATTGATCTAAAGGGTCATTTAGAAGTTCTTAGCTGGATTCATCTAATTAATTCTTCTAATTAATGGTTTATAAGAGAATACTAATAGTCATCAAAACATATTTTCTAAAGATATTTTGATAAAAAAAAACTTAAGGTGTCCTAATTCTAATCCTGTTTTAAGTTAGTAGCTTCTTATAAGGAACAAGTTCCTTCAATGACTTAGTTACTTTAAAATATGAGCATATAGAAAGACTAGGACAAATAATGATTCTTTTATTTTTCTATGGTGACTTTATGTCTTTCTCTGCAAAGAGGACCAATATGCTTTTATTTTATTTTAATGAAAGAAGCTGCAGGTGGAGTTTAAGTGGGAGAATATCTGCTTAGCAAGTAAGGCCCTGAGTTCAAACACTTTTCCAGCAGACATCCACTAAAGATTGTGAGAGATGTTCTGCTGAACAAAATAGGATCAGATGACAATTGGGTTTATTCTGTTTAAATTACTAAATTTAATTTCTCTCTAATCAATGTCTAGACATTTATGAATATTTTCAAACATACCCTCTCTACTCCCTTGTAATCAACCATTAAATTTTTGCATGTTCATGTTACCTTCTCATATGGCTAACTGGTTTTCTCTACTTAAATTCTCTCCTCAACCAATCTACTACTTCCTTCCAGGCCTGATTGAAAATTTAGTTTCTTTGACAAGGGGTGTAGCTCAGTGGCAGTCCACTTGTATTAGCATTCACAAGGTACAGGGTTTGATTTTTAGTTTCTCTCAAAAGGTCTTCAGCAACTCATTATTCCATTTGAAACTATCCTGTCTTTGAGTACCCAGGACTCATCAATACTAACTTATATTCCCATACTGTAGGCAAAATACATTAATTTGGAAATAACATAATTAGTTTTAAATATTGTGAGATACTGGCTGTTTATATATTAGTGTGGTCAGTTTATTTCTTTTCTTTTCTTTCCTTTTTTTGTCAGTCCTGGGGCTTGAACCCTGGGCTTGGGCGCCGCCCCTCAGCTCTTCAGCTCAAGGCAAGAGTTCTACTGTTTGAGCCACAGCACCATTTCTGGTTTTCTAGTGGTTTATTGGAGATAAGAGTCTCAAGGATTTTCCTGCATGGATTGACTTTGAACCATGATCCTCAGATCTCAGCCTCCTGAGTAGCTGGGATTACAGGCGTGAGCCACTGGCGCCTGGCTAGTTTCTTTCTTTAAGTAATAATTCCCTTTGCATAACATAAGAACATCTAACGAGGGACTTTTTCTGGACATGTAAAGCAATTGCATATAGATAAAAGCATATTTCTGGCCTACATGATAACCACAGTAAACAATGAATAATTGGTAAAACTGTCTATTAAATGCCTAAAAAAATAAGTACTGCAGGCTGGGAAAGTGGCTCAGTGGTAGAGCACTCACCTTGCATGTATGAGGCCCTGGGTTCGATTCCTCAGCACCACATAAGCAAAAAAGAAAAAAGCCAGAAATGGCACTGTGGCTCAAGTGGTAGAATGCTAGCCTTGAGCTGAAGAGCTGAGGGACAGCGCCCAGGCCCAGAATTCAGGCCCCACGACCAGAACCCCGCCCCCCCAAAAACAGTAATGTCTTTTGTATCTGTGCAAATGTCATCTTTATATTCTAATTGGTTTAACCCATACACATCAAGGATCCTTTAAAATAAGCTGGGTGCTGTTGGCTCATGCCTGTAATCCTAGCTACTCAGGAGGCTGAGATCTGAGGATCACGGTTCAAAGCCAGCCTTGCCAGGGAAAATCCATGAGACTCTTATCTCCAATAAACCATCAGAAAACCAGAAGTGGTGCTGTGGCTCAAGTGGTAGAGCACTTGCCTTGAGCTGAAGAGCTGAGGGACAGGTCCCAGGCCCAGAGTTCAAGCACCACGACCAACAACAACAAAAATAATAATCATGTAATTCTATAATTAAAGTTAAAATCAAATAGAAAAATGTGAAGAATCTTGGAAAGGAAATATGAGGAGATGTAGGCTAATTTATTAAGGACAGCAATATTTAATTACAACTCTGTCAAATGGAGACTATGTAGTTAGTGTAAAAACAAGGCAAGATTCTTCACATAATCTACAAAAGTAATAAAGTAAATAGAAGACAAAATTAAATAACTAAACACTAAATTACAATTTTAATTATTATATAGCCCTTTTTTTTCTGCCAATCATTAAAAAAACTGGACTTAAGATGGTCTTTTTTGTTGTTGTTGGTGGTGGTGGTGGTGGTTATGGTGCTTGACCTGAGGGCCTTGGCGCTGGCCCGGAACTCTTTTGCTCTACCACTTTGAGCCACAGCTCCAATTCTTTCTGCCTGGGATGGCTTTGAGCCGCGATCCTCAGATCTCTGCTTCATGAGCAGCTAGGAGTACAGGCAAGAACTACCAATGCCTAGATTAAGATGATCATAATACAATTTAGGTGAGGAATGAACATGTACACATATTTTATAGTTTTAAAAGACATTCTTTTTAAAGGCATGAAGAGGGAGGAAGCAGAAAAGAGAGACTGAAAGGACAGGAAAGGAAAAAATAAAAAAAACAAATATATCTATTTTATGTACGTATGTCTCATCTCACCAATGAGAAATTCAGATTTTGAAAGAAAAATCCTTATTTTTCAACTTCGTTATTGGATTTGGTTTGTTTGGCAGTGTTGCCATGTTTATTAGTAAGATAAATTGGAAAGCTATAGAATTGATGCCTTGTACTTGAAATTCAAGTCAGTCAGTTCCAAGAAGATCTCTGTATACAGAGAGAATTAATCTGGAGTTATAATTCAAGTCATATAAGGGAAAACGAAAATGCTATAATTACAGCCCTTCTCTGTAAGCAGTAATACACATAGAGAGGTAATTTTTTTTTTGCTTTTTTAATTTTTGTTGGTTGTGGGACTTGAACTCTGGTCCTGTGTGCTATCCCTGAGTTCTTCAGCTTAAGGGAAACACTCTACCACTTGAGCCACAGCACCACTTCCAGTTTTCTGTTGGTTAATTGGAGATAAGAGTCTCATGGACTTTGTTGCCCGGGTTGGCTTTGAACTGTGATCCTGAGATCACAGCCTCCTGAGTAGCTAGGATTACAAGGCATGAACCACCAGTGCCTGGCTTTTTTTTACATATTATTATATTACAGAAGTCCAGTGCAGGGTAAAAATAGTGGAAATATTTCATAATTGCCTAGTGATTAAATATTTTTGCACCAATTAAAAGAAACATCCAGTGAATATTTATAAAATTTGTAATATCTTCTAATATAAATAAGTGTCTCCTAAGAAACTTAATGAACTCAGCAAGAAATACCTATTATTCCAAAGTGAACTGTTAATACTATTTAATGTAGCATTAAAAACCACAGGTGTAATTCCCTGCTAGTTTCTGTTTTTAATAGCTGTGACTAAATATATTCAAATATTATAATATAAAACATTAATTTCTGCTCAAGTATTTGCTGAATTCTTACAGATTACAAACATTTTATTTTAATTGTCATTAACTTGGTGCAAGAACTATTTGGTAAGGCTATTTGGGAAACTATCAGCTCAAAGACATTTCACTACCATTCCACAAAACTTAATTTCCTACCTATCCTTGTAAAATTTTAAATTGAAACATTGTTGCTATTCACTACATCTGGGCCTTTAAAATAAAGTCTATAAAACTAAATTTATCTCTTCATTTCACTGTCATCTCCAAAATAAATGGCCAGAAAGGATAACTAAGAGAATTAACTATTAA